GAAATAGCATGACAATTTTTATTAGTGCGCTTAACAGGTTATAGGGCTTTGAACTCTTCACTATCTCCGTAATCGCCGAGATCTATGCATGTTCCATCTTCTGACCTCCCTAGTGTAACTTTTTAAGCAATATAAAGGATCTGATTCACCAAAAACAGAGACGAAATAAATTTTCATTTTCTCTATCTTTCTACATACGACGCAGTGCATAAAACCAGATTTCAACGCCATAAACCAATATAAAAGTAATATCATGTCTTCAGAACCAGCCTCACCCTCAAGCATATCATCTGGCGAAGAAGCAATAACCCGCACCATGGCGGATGTAATTAAAGATTATGATACTGACGAGCTAATCGATTATTTGCGAAGAAGAAATTTAAAATTGGATGAAGATGACTTTGAAATTCTCCGTAAAGAAAAAATTTCTGGTCCCGCCTTTCTTGAAACAACAAAAGATGAATTCCGCAATTATGGCATGAAAGGAGGGCCAACAACAGTATTAACAAAATTTATTGCGGATATCAAAGAACAAAAACTACGATCTTTTTCGTCTTACAAGACTGTAGAAGAGTTAAAAGAGCTACTCCGCGATTATAAAGTTAATGGCGACAATATTACAAGTATAAAACAATTCAATCCAAGTAAGTTTTCTATAAACGAGTACATACCAGTTGATTTTTATTTTCTGGTTTATGTATCATATCGAGTATAACAAATATTTCTTCCCCAAAGTTTTCGAGAAAATTGATGACGACGACGAAGCCCTGAAACAATGTATTGCAGAAATTACATTACGACTTGCGCAAATAAAATCAATGACAGATGCTAACGAGGCGACACGTTGCACTTTTATCGAATCTATATTACACGCATCAATTGCCGTCGCAAGAAGACAAACCAATAAAGAAATAGACATCGAATATCAGAGAGATATTTCTGGTGAAGAAACATCTGGTCGGGTTGATTATGCAATAAGTGGAATAGAGGACCTCCTATGTATTACTGAAGGAAAACCACGAAACATAAAAATAGGATATCTTCAGGTATGCCTAAAATAAATCTGATTATTAGTATCGATATCACTATTGATATGCTTTTGTTTTTCAGAATATAAAGCAACTCGAAAGCTCCTTCCACACAAACAAAAAACGAACTGTGGATCAAGCATTTAATGACGATGGCTATGATTATCTCTACGGTATCGTTTCCACTGGGGTGGATTGGCATTTCATCATGTTTACATCGGACGGAATATACTGTACAAGTAAAACAGAATATCAAATAGATCTCACGAAAAAAGTACTTAGGGGTAGTCGTGAAAATTTGCGGGATAGCATAAAACAAATAATTGGCATAATCGTGGGGTTATTAAAAGATCGAGCAATGGCATGCGATGAACCTGAAAATAAAAGACGTCGCGTACAAGAAAAGATTGGAAAATAGATAGTTATTCTACTCCCTGTATTTTATGTGCCTTGGCACTAGCTCCGCTATTATGATATTATGTAACCGACACATCTGATAAATATTTTTTTTTCCGAAATAAACATGCGTTAAATGATTTTACACTCAAATATTAACACTTGCGAAGCCACGAATTAAAAATAACAAATTATATCTTTATTGATAGTCGTAGTAATATTATTTTTTTAAACAATGTAAAAGGCCGGCCTGTAAAATAATGAATAGATGGAGGTGTAGGTGGAGGCGAAGAGGGAGAAATAAAGCATTTTTGATCATGCCAGCCGGCCTTTTGAAAATTTGATATATGTAAAATACAAATGGCAAAATTAACTTTAGATATTGCTAAAGAAATTGCGTGTAATAGAGAAGGTGAATGTCTTTCTGAAAAATATATCAATAGTAAGGCTCTAATGCATTGGAAATGTGCTAACGATCATTTATGGTCTGCAAGCCTTAATTGCGTGAAAAATAGAAAAACATGGTGTCCGCGGTGTGCGGTCAAAAATCAGCGTACTCGAACGATTGAAGATATGAAGAAGTTTGCAATAAAAAAGGTAGGTCTTTGCCTTGCAACTGAGTATATTAATAGACGGGATCCTCTTGAATGGCAGTGTAGAGAAGGTCATAAATGGATGGCTTCAACGAAGGATATTCTTAAGGGAACTTGGTGTCGAAGGTGTATAAAACGTGTTATTCCAATACAAAAACATATTGCACCAGATACACGACGCCGAAAATGTAGTCATCGACGATTCAATATTGATATAGCAAACAGTATTGCACAAGAACGAGACGGTAAGTGCATTTCTACAGAATATGTTAATACAGATACTCCGATGCTTTGGAGATGTGCCAAAGGTCATGAATGGTCTACAACCCTTTATCGAATAAAAAATATGGGAAGATGGTGTCTACAATGTTCTGGAATTTTTCCTTGTGGTCTTATGGAAGCAAAGGAGATCGCTTACAGTAGAGGAGGTTTGTGTCTTTCTAAGGAATATATAAATACCCGTGTTCCTCTGCAATGGATGTGTAGTAAAGGCCATAAATGGTCTACAAGTTTTAATTGTATAAAATACTCTAAATCGTGGTGTCCATATTGCTTAAATAAGCAAGAAACCTTATGTCGTGAAGTCATAACTAATATTCTTGGCCCACCTTCTAGCATTCGCCGACCAGATTTCTTAAAAACATCTAAACATCCTCAAGGACTAGAACTTGACATCTACTATCCACAGTATGGATTTGCTATAGAAGTACAAGGTAAGCAACATGAGCAACATATAAAACATTTCCACAAAAATGAGGAAGACTTTGAGAAGCAATTAATACGTGATCAACTCAAGAACGAATTATGCGAAGAAAACTGGATCGTTTTAAGGTATGTTTGGTATTATGAAGACCCATATATAGTTATTCCAGAGCATCTTCGAGAATTGGGTCTTATTGAGTAAACTTAAAACTTTAAGCGGACACATTTGTAAAAGATTGAGATACATACGTATCCAACTATTTTTTAGATTAAAAAACACCCATCATTAATTATTCAAGAGAAATAATCAAAGCATTCGCAATTTGATTTTAAGCTGAATTGAATTATATACTTTATTCGGAAATTAATAGATCAACAATATCGAAAATATCAAGAATACATTTGTAATATTTGTAATTCACGACTTTTCATTTCAATTTTCTTTACATTCCCATGCAGAAACTGAATCCGGAACCCAAATCCAGTCCCGAATTTTTGGTACATTGGTACCATTGACTGATTCGGATAACTTTAATTTATTTATCACTCCCATTTGAATTTCTAGTTCACTCTGAAAATTAAGTATGAATGTTATATTGAAGCTCTTTTAAAATCTAATGGCATATTTAACATAATTTAAAATACTTACCACTAGAATGTGAAGAAGTTCAAAAACCTCCAAATAATCTGCTACATCATTGAATTCGAATGGTAATATTGCAGATTTGATCTGCAAAACTGAGTAAATATGCTTATTTGCAAGACATAGTTTACTAAATGTTATCCGGTCACCTAACAACATGTAAGATTTATATGTTTTAAAATAGTTAAAAGATCTAATATAGTGTACTAAATAAATTACCAATATTCTGTATCATGAATGTGTATAAAAATAAATTACCAATGCTTTGTATCATAAACGTGTATAAATGTTTTGACTCTTCTGCACTCTTATCCATGTGATTTCGTAGTATGGAAACAAGTCCAAATATGGCTTCTTTAAGAAGCTTTTCGCTATCTTCCTTTGCGTGTTTTAGATCTGAACTTTCAGGTCCACCCGAAACCTCAATAAAAAGAATTGCCTTGTTGCTTGAATTTCTTATTCCTAGACCATCAGCCTGATTTATAGTCAAATTAAAATCCGGATGTAGTTTTTTTATCTCTTTCATACAGTTTAATTCAATCTCTATCCAATGAAACTTAATTTCTTCGTATATCGACTGTATTGCTTTAAATATGGGAACTATTCTTTCTACTATATACGTACGTTCACCAACATTTCGTTTTAAGGGACCTCCTTTTGTTGTAAAATAACTAATTGAATCAATATAAATTAAAAGCATATTAGTAAACTCGGCATGTCAAAAAATACAAATTCATGTGTGAAATAATACACATACAAATCATATAAAATGAATTCACAAATTTCTCGAAATTTTTTATCCTTTTGACTTGCTTCAGAGGTTAAAGGTGTCATAATGGCTTTTTTAAACTCTTCTTTTGTTGACTAGAGTAAAGAAATTTTAATAAATACAATTTACTATCATTAACATCTAAAAGAAATTAATGATAACTTACTGATAAGATTTTTACAAGCCAATTGCGAATTATATTAGAAATATCTACTGATGCATTTGGTGCACGATTATCTTTTATGATCATTCCTTGATTATTTACATTCATTTTTATATGGTTTTGTAGATAAGTTACGGAATCCTTAAAAAGCACTGACTTTTGAGGAGTAATTTGTATATTAGCATTATCAATATTAGGCCTTGGTGATGGAGTTCTTGTAATTCGGGTGGTAGGGTTTGTAACTATCACAGTCGGTAATTGTTCTTGATTTGATGAATCTTGTGATATTGTTACATTGTTTGATATAGAATTTAAGGAACTGGCCTGAATTTGTGACAATTGAGTAATGGGTGGCGAATTAGTATTTAATTACAACCGCCAATAAAAAAAAATTAACCATACATCTCCGAGAAAATCTTATACTTACACTTCTGTTATCACGTTTCATTCTTATTTTTGATTTTGGTTGTTTTCCTTTATTGATCTTCCGCTAAAAATTACATGTAGTGTCTTTTAATATTGGTTTACATGTTTTCGTTTTTTATGATGGCATTAATAGTACTGCCTACCTTTTTTTGCTGATTATTTGAATCGGAGGAAGTAGGGCTGTTACTTGTTTCATACTAATAAATATATCACTTTGGTCAGATAAATGTATTGTAAATTAATTAATTCATTTAACATCAACTTACATCACTTCCATCATCCAATTCGCTCTGTTTTCTTTTATCCGACTCCTGCCGAAATTTGAATAGACGCCTTTTAATATTAATTTATATATCAACATTTGCATTGGCATATTACTTACATGATCCGAATCAGAAAAGTAAGTTTCACTCAAATTGTTATAATCAACAGGTGCAATATCTCCGAGTTTTCTCATAGAGCATTCTCCCTCCTAAAAGAAATCGCAAAAGGCAATGTATTCATAATCAGAAAATACATATTTCGGCTGTATGACTGAAGTAGAAAGATTAAAAGATATTTTTTGTTAAATAAATTTAAGTTATATACTAACCTTATCTGCATGCTTCCGATTTTGTTTCTATAAGAAAACAAGATAGAGTAAGTCAATTAGTATTCCTAATCAACATATTAGATCAAAATCATTCATACCATCCTCTCTTCGACATTGGTAAGCGCTACATCAATGACTTTAGTAGATCTGCGTATGAACTTGCAAGCTACTTCCGTCTATGAATTAAAACAATTTCAGTAAAAGAAAGTTATTAATGTAATATTTGGTATGAATTATAACAATTTCAGTAAAAGAAAGTTATTAACAAACCTCAGCATTATCAATCGACGTTTCATTCTCAATTTGTTGCCAAAATATGTGAACATCCTTAAATTTCGTTCGATGTCCCTAATACAGTTACAGAGGTAATTAATATTGATACATGTTATAAAGAAAGCTATTATAATTATAAGCGCAAAATAGTGCAGACAGATCACAACGGGAAACCACCGTAAAGCAGGTTGAACCCCCTGCCGTAGTTGTGAGAGTATGTACCCCTTCTCAGGACTGCAAATGAAACTCCTACTTCCACAATAATTGTGAAACATGACGGGAAACCACCATAAAGCGGGTTGAACCCCCCGCCGTAGCCATGGAAGTATGTTACCCCTTCTCGGGACTTCAGTAGCAAGCTTCACATCTGTCTACAACTCATGCATCAGAGAGGAGAGGGAAGATAAATGCTTGCCTCAAAAGTTTTTTGTAAACGGACAACGTTCTCTTTAGCTTCAGGTGTTCCATCTTTCACCAGCGACATCAAACAACGCCAGAGATTGCCAGATTCTTCCGGCGGTACTTATAAAAGTCTAGGAATCGAAACTTTTTAGGTGAAGTTTGTTTAAAATATTCCATGGTGAACGCGTTTGTCAATCTGCAACATGATTTATGTTGATAGAAAATACCACGTGATGATAAAAAAATATTAAGAACGGCAAAATTATATTGATTTTAACAGTTACGAAAATAATAACTTTATTTATAACAATATTTTAACAAAAAATACAATGTAAAGGCCGGCCAAAACATAACGAATAGATAGAAGTGTAGGGGCAAAGACGAAGAGGGAGAAATAAAGCATTTCGATCAATGCCTGCCAGGGATCCTAGGCCCTTTACATTGTAAAAAATGGCAGTTCCTTTCCCCACCCCACACTAGCTATCGTTATTATCATTATTATTATCATCTAAGATTATGTTACTATTACTTGAAAAATTATTTCTATTACTATTACTGTTACTACTGCTAATAAGAGAGTTATCTTTTTTCTTGTATTCTTTCTTGACCCAATTTGCGATTTTATCTAGTGATGTCATTTGCGGTACTCTCTGGTGGTGGTAAAAGATGGCGAGTGTAGCCGAACTGAGATCAATTTCTAAAGATAAGACAATATACATTTTTGTGGGGAAACGTTTCTCTCGTTTCCTTCTCTCATCGAATATAGCTGTAAATTCAACCCAGAGAAACTAAGTGCCAAGACACTAGCCTCGCTATATTTACTCAACTATATTAACATACTAGCTTCGCCATTTAGGGCAAGCATCTGCACAATCTTATTGATCCGAATATCCCGATAAGACAGAAACTCACACGTCAGAATTTGCAATTATTTTACAAACTTCTACTTCGGACTTCAGACCTCCATTCCGCTTCAATGTAATTTTGTTTTGTAAAGCTAAAATATCTTGTTTGAATTTTTGCGTAACTGGATCGATCGTGATAGGAATTTGAGTTGGGGCCGGGGCTGGGGATGCGTTTTTTCGAATGAATATAAGTAGAATTGCAAGGATGATATATACTGTTATGTTTTTCTGGGCGATTGTATAAAGCATCTCCATTGTTAAGATGTTCCGATTATATAGTTCGTAGATGGCGATTACAGCGATGAAAATCACAAATAAAAAAATATCGGAAATGTTGAGTTGCATTTTTTGCAGTTATTTATTTCGCAATTGATAAATTGATTAATTGACAGTTTGAATGAGGTGCGGTTGTTCAATGATGGCTTTAATGATTGTTTTGGCAACTTGATTTCTTACCTGAGACTCCAGCAATTTCGACATGTTTTTATAGATTAAAACCCAGCATTAACGATTCGTGGCATTGGTTCTTTACATCTCGTACTAAATCGAGGCAATAGATTATTAGCGACTACAATACATGACGACTTCGTACTATTTATGCACATCGGATGATCATTCACCTATAAAATCGTGTGCATACATCGCCGATAATTGACAATTTCCCATGTATCACTTGATATTTTTGTTTGTTACTTAATTTAGATGTAATACGGCCCTATTTCAGAATAAATGGGTTTCGATTCTCAACATGTATCACAGGCGGTGTACATGTAATGCAATACATAAAAATCCCAATAATCATGATCGATTATTTTAACGAAGCTAGTATGGTTGATATACACTATATATTTGATTAAAAAAAAAGAATTATCCAAATACATATGCACCAACTTGGATAAGGGATTTTGTTACCTCTTACAATAAGTAAAAGAAAAAATTCAAATTGAAAAAATTAAATATGGCAGATGGGTAGGCCGACTTGTTTTCCTATATTAGGTTAATATAATTTGTTAAACAAAAAATTATCATGTGGTATCACTTTATATAACTCGATAGCGAAGCTAGTGTCAAGACACATAATTATTTTTTCTTTTTTACCCTGTGGCACTGTTTTTGATGTATAACGGTCTTACACACGTACTTATCATCTGATTCTGAACTAGATGTGGAAGAACCACTTGTATCAGAGGTATCAGAAGAACCAAAAGTTCGATGCTCTGCATCATCAGAGTTAGAAGAAGCGGATTCATAGAATTTATCAACATTATTTTCAGTAACACGCACTATAACCCTCCTCCCTTTCTTCTTGGCGAGATTTTTAATACGTAATGTAGTTCTTACCCAGGTATCCTCTGTGTCGGTTACAATTTCAAGTATGAATGTTTGGAGTTCATCATCATATTTTTGACCATAAAACCAGATATTATCAAGTAATATATAATTAGGTAATTTAGGGCTATATTTTACTACGAGTACTTCAGTTGGTATAGCAATGGATTTTTTATTACTAAGACAAGCATTATTTTTTATGTTAGAAATAAATGTGAGTGGGATTATATCCCATCCAATCGGGTGTGTAGTCATCTCTCTGAAGAATTTGCTATCTTTATCTGATTTTCTTGAGAAACTTGTCACTACACATCGATGGACCGTGAAATCCTGATTCGAGGTGACAATTAACTTTTTGCTCTCCTACTTTAGCTTTGACTATTTTTGCTTCCATAGTAATATTTTATATTATATATTATAAATCTTTAGCCAAAAAAATAAATATGACAGATAGGTAGGTCGACTCGCTTTCCCTACATTTGATAAATAAAAAATCTCGGAATGAAATTAATAGAATTAGCACATCATTTATTGGATTATAATCTTACAGTTCAGAAAAAAGATAGATAAGATAAAATTATCAAAAGCACTTAATAAGTCAATTTTATTTGATCAATTCGAGTAAATCATCCCATTCTTCTAATTCTGCTAAATCCCAATCTTCTATATTATTCTAGGGGATTGCGTTATTTTTTATTTGCTGTATATTAAATTTAACGATCTCCTTTTTTGATTTACTTATCATTCCATTAACAAGCATATACTTTTCAATCTCTACCTGTTTTTTAGCACTTTCGAATTGTTTACCCCAATAATTATTTGCTATACCAAATTCAATATATCCTTGTATTATCTCATCATCCGAATATTTTTCTTGTGCTTCACTCATTTTTTTATCTCTTTCAAGTCCTAATTTATAGCCTTTTAACACCATCTTTTTTAGAGTTCGTGCTGAATTTCTTTGTACCAAATGCGATTTATCCAACAGAATTTGTTGAAATCTTCCAATGAAAGTTTTTGAACGATTTCAGCAATAGTATTCGGAATAATAAGTGGATTATATGTATGCATATTGTATATCTCAAATGTGTGAATTTTATTAACTAAGACTTTTTATTTAATTAATAATCAATGGAGCTAACCAAAAAAATATATCTATATCTCGATAATTAATTACAAATTGTATTTTTATATTTACTCAATTATTACTTAACATGTTGAGCTCTAGTAATATCGAAATTAATAAACAAATCAATGAATATAAAGAAAAATTAGTTGCAAAAGGAATGTATGATGATAATTTTGAGATTTTATCTCTTGGTGGATTTATTGCTAAACGAATTTTACTTCATGAACAGAATGTAAGTTATGTCCGTAATAATAAAATAGAGTATGTACCACATGAGGAGTTTCTTAAGCTAATTAAACTAATAGAATTATTTTATATCCTGTATAAAAAAAATTTCGAAACATATGGTCTATTCGATATTGATATCAATTAATCATATCTATAAACTATCGAATTAGATATTTATTATATTATAAAAAAAAAAATTGTATTAGGTAGATATTATCGTTAGTAAATCTAACTCACTGCCATGAGATGGATTTGATGATTCTGGTTATATTCTAAATAAGTAACTTTGGATTTACTATATACTTGTTTTCTAATGTCAGATGATGCTAAGCTATTATTGCTCTTTTTTCAGCTAACTTAGGAGATATACCTGATTTAACCATACTTTTATATACATCAGTTCTCCAATGGTCATATGCCCAAGGTGTAATTTTATCAGAAAGTACCCAATTCTTTGAATTAAGAGGACAGAAGGCCTTTTTATCAGATCGACCAATGATAATATATGATTTTTAGATCGAAATCCTATATTTTTAGTACAGAATATTTCATCATTAAAGAGACAATCTCGATATATCAAAGTCATAGGATCTACTATTTTATTTTCTGGAACTGAATTATTTAACAAAGTTCCTTCTAATTTTTAATCATAGGTAATAGTATTAACTTTGGTTGCTATTTCAATTATACCTCTTTTACTAACCCCCTTATGTTTCGATCTGATAGATTTATCTGATATAACATAGTGGGTTTTAGTTCGGATATGGAAAGATTCAGTTATTATTTTACCTGGACATTCATCCTTGAATAGATCAATAGTCTTGGAATCATCAAGATCAAAAATATTAAGTCTTTTTGCCATATCTTTATAAATATCTTCAGTCTCAGTTTGAAATATAAATAAATTGGTATCTGTATATCCGAGCTTAGCTTTATCACCATATTTTTCTTTTACATATCCATACCAGAATTGATACATTAATAACTTACTAAGTCCCAAGACTGACGCACCAACAATAATCAGTTTATTGAGAACTACAGATGCCTGCCCCATATGAGCACCAATAAGAGTATTGAATAGTTGTCTGGCATATTTGAATGAAGATTTGCTTACCTTTTTTTGAAACTTCTTCTCATCATTATCATTATTCATGGCCATAATCTTAATATCTTGATACTTACAAACGTTTTCTATAGTCTTGCCATATACTGAATTATTCATAAGCTTAAAGAAATCCTTTTCAAAATCATTCACAGCTTTTTGACGTAACTTAGTATTGAAATCAATATATGGGGCAAGCCAGTTAATTTGATCGAATGAAAGTATCTCGGTCACTTCATCTACAACCATTCCTAATTTTACGTAATATTGAAGTTCTTGATAATGGATTACATAACTATTTATTAGATCGTTTCTAGGACCAAGATGAGGAACTAGTTTCTTTATTTCAGAGAATCGTCCTCCGTCCAAATCTTCTACTAACTTATTAT